TCTTCCTGACTGCAGACCTGGTGTTTTATCTGCTGTGCCACCTAGCAATGTGCCTGCTACAAAGTCTATAGTCAGCCAAAAAATTAAAGATGGGGAAACCAGTTCACTTTGTTTCATTTGGTCAAGGTCAGAGGTACTGAGTCATTCTAGTGTCAGTAAAAGTATACATCCATAAGCTTTTCTCTCAGAAAATGAAACCATATCAAAATGACTGCTTGTGCAGCTCAAGATACAGCACAACCCCCATTCTCACCCTCTGGCTGGCCCATCCTAATCCTCAATCATACTGACAGGTTTGGGGTTCCCAGAGAGGAACTCCTTCACTCCTTCAAATTCTCTCAGACCAGGTAACTTGTGTGTGTGTGTGTGTATGTGTGTGTGTGTGTGTGTGTGTATTCTTACTACTGGTCATATTAAGTCCTGAGTCCTCGTTGGTGTGTTTTCCATTAACTTTTTTAAACTGGATCTCCTAATCTCCAGGCTAGAAGTCATTCACAGGATGTGCTGATCCACTGCTGGTGAACAGGGGGCCTTTGTCCTGCTCTTTTTCTGACTGAAGACAGTTTGCCCTTCGTCAGATTGCTGGCTCTCTATTCCCAGTTAATGAAGACACTGGATTGGCTTTAGCCTTGCTGAGGCTCAGAACTCTGAGATCTCAATTCATTCAGAGTGTGTATTCATCCCTCTCCACCAGCCCAGCTTCCTCAGCTGCAGGGGATTACAGATGTGCACTACCATGCCTAGCACCACTAACTATTAAACATAAAACAATGACTAGACCTGAGGCATGAGCAACAAAAACCAAAATCTTACAGTTATTCAATATAAGGCAAATTCAGGAATGATCAAAACATCCTAGTCCCTCCGCAAATCTTGGTCACACTCTCTTGCCAATGCATACAGTGTCTGTGAGGGAGAGTGGGCACACACACTTATAGAATCTTCCCAGAGAGGCACGAGCTGGGAAGCCACCAATGCACAACTCTGGACTGCAGGCCACTGGCTCCTTCAGAAACAAGAAGTCTCCTTTCTACCAGTGCTTCCTTTCCCATTCTCCCTGTTCTCCCGAGGAGCATATCCATTTCTCTCCCGTTTTCTAGGTGATAAAGCAGCGACAACTACCCTTGACAGATAATGGAGAAAATGTTACACTGTTGCAGTGAGATGCAAAGAAAGGGAAAAGACTGTCCCTCTTCTCAAGCATCTCACAGTTTAATGGGGGTGCAGTGGGTTGGGTGGGGTTTATTTAACCTTAGAATTGTAAAGCTCCTCAGATTGGCTCTCTGGGGAAAACCCAGTCAGCTCTTCACTCAACAGGACTTTGCTCCCTCCAATCTCTGACCAAAGAAACCGATCAAGGAGACACCTGGGAAGCTTCCCCTCTTTCCAACGGCAGGTGTCGCTAGAGGGCAGTGCTATTGATACAGAAAGTATGTGGAAGTGAGAAATTAAGAGTGCTATCAGGATAAATAGTGATAATATTATTCCTTCTAGACATAGTAGTGTTGATATTAAGTGGGATCGATAAATCAGTACTCCTGCTAGTGCTAGTGAGAAGGCTATGATTAGGTTTAGGCTGATGGAAGTCATAAGGTATTCATGGATTTGGACCATGATAAATTGAGTTAAAATCAATTATCTTAGTTAGATTAAAAACCTATTCAGTTCATTCTAGGCCTTTTTGTAGTCATTCGTAAGCTAATCCTGCTGTTAAGAGTAGAATTAGGCCGTATGATAGGATTAATATTGTGTTGGGGTTTGATAGTTGAACGGCCCATGGAAGTGGTAATAAGAGGGCAATTTCTAAGTCAAAAAGTAGAAATGTAATAGCGATTAGGAAAAATTTTAGTGAGAAGGGTAGTCGGGCTGAACCTAGCGGGTCAAATCCGCATTCATACGGGCTGGATTTTTCTATATACAAGTAGAGTTGAGGCAGTCAGAAGGCAATTAAAACAATAATGGTCGATAGTAGGGAATTGATAACTAGTGTGATGATAAGATTAATTACTTTTCTCTGGTTTTACCCAGAACTTAATGATTGGAAATCAGTAGTACTAATTATACTAGAAAAATATGAACCTCATCAGTAGATTGATACATATAGGAAAAGTCATACTACATCTATGAAGTGTCAGTATCAGGTGGCTGCTTCAAAGCTGAAATGGTGGGTTGATGTGAAGTGATAATTGAATTGTCGTAGAAGGCAGACTATTAGGAATGTTGAACCAATGATTACATGTAAGCCGTGGAAGCCTGTGGCTACGAAGAAAGTTGAACCATAAATTCCGTCTGAGATAGTAAATGAGGATTCATGATATTCTATGGCTTGTAGGATAGTAAAGTAGAGGCCTAGGAGGATTGTGATTGATAGTGCTTGGATTATTTGTTTGTGATTGCCTTCTATTAGGCTGTGGTGGGCTCATGTAATTGAGACTCCTGATGCTAGCAGGATTGATGTATTTAGTAGTGGGACTTTGAGTGGATTAAGTGGGTGAATTCCAGTAGGGGGTCAGCAGCCACCTAGTTCAGGGGTTGGGGCAAGGTTTGAATGGTAAAAGGCTCGGAAGAAGCTGAGGAAAAAGAATACTTCTGATACAATGAACAGGATTATTCCGTATCGAAGGCCTTTTTGTACTACGGGGGTATGATGTCCTTGGAATGTTCCTTCTCTTACAACGTCGCGTCATCATTGATATATTGTGAGGAGTATGCATGTTAGGCCAGTAATAAGTAATAGAGAGGAGTTGAAATGGAATCATATGATGAGGCCAGATGTTAGTAAAAGCGCTGAGAGGGCGCCAGTCAATGGTCATGGGCTTGGATTAACTATGTGATAAGCGTGTGTTTGGTGGGTCATTAGGAGTTGTCATGTAGGTATAGGCTTACTAGAAGTGTGAAAACATAGGCTTGAATTATGGCTACAGCCAGTTCTAGGATTGTTAGTAAGAAGAGGATTGTAAATGTGATGGTTGATACGGTTATGCTGATGGAGGATAAGGCTAGTGTGGTGGAACCGATTAGATGAATGAGTAGATGTCCTGCAGTAATGTTGGCTGTCAGCTGTACTGCGAGGGCTAGAGGTTGGATAAAAAGGCTAATTGTCTCGATGATGATGAGTATTGGGATAAGAGGGGTGGGTGTTCCTTGTGGTAAGAAGTGGGCTAAAGACACTTTTGGTTTGTTGCGGAAGCCTATAATTACTGTGGCTAGTCATAGTGGGATGGCTATGCCAATGTTTATGGAAAGCTGTGTTGTAGGAGTAAAGGAGTATGGGAGCAGGCCTAGGAGGTTAGTGGATGTGATGAAGAGAATGAGGGACATAAGTATTAGGGCTCAGGTTCGACCTCGTGTGTTGTGCATTGATAGTATTTGTTTTGTGATTTGTCGAATTAGTCAGATTTGTAGTGTTTGGATGCGATTAGGGAGTCAGCATTTTGGGGTTGATAAAATAATACATGGGAAGATTATAATGATTGGTAATGTTGTAATACCTATGATTGTAGGGGTGATGAATGGGGCAAATAAATTTTCGTTCATTTTTTGTCTCATGGTAGTTGGGGTTTTGTTGGTAGTTTCTTGTTTTCCTGTGGAGGAATTGAAGTTATAGTCTGATTTATTATTTTTAGCTGGAAGATGCAGAATAGTGAGATTAATATTAGGGTAATGGTTAAAGATCATGTTGATGTATCTAGTTGTGGCATATGTTTTGAGAGGTTTGAACCTTTTTAATACTTACAGTATTAGTTTGTACTCAAAAATGATTGCATTATGGAAGATCATTTCTCGAAATACTTCAGTGTGGTTATTTCAAGCACAATGGGTATGAAACTGTGATTGGATCCACAAATTTCTGAACATTGACCATAATATACTCCTGGAGGAGTTGAAGTTAATGTAGCTTGGTTTAGTCGTCCTGCTAAGGGCAGCAGCCTCCCAATGAGCTAACGAATCTTCTCCTAATCACCAAACCGCGATTTAATTGGCTGCCTTTTCAGTGACAGACATTAACACTCTAGCAATGAGCACGTGCAAAGGCGCTGCTGGACCGCAAAGCCTTGCAATCATGGCTATCGGGGCTGGCCATCGAGGCGTTGCATTTCTGCCTTTTTCACCAGGCTGCCCCAGGGACCGGGGACACATTCGAGGGGAAGAAGTCCGTGCTCTCTCCAAAGGAAAGACCCTCTTCATCTTTTTACCTCACTTTTGTCATTTGCAAATGGGGCAAGGGGATGTTTGAATTCCGTCATCTTTAATTCCTTCTAATTCTGACATCTGAATCCCAGGACCTGGGTTCCAGCCTGCTTTGTGACCTTGGGGGCGTTGTTAAGAAACTGAGCCTCAGTTTCCTCTTGGTGTCGGCCAGCTGCTGTTTTCTGAGCTTCGGAAGAGAAGCATCCTCCTTTGTAAAACGGGAGGGGGAATGGTGGATCCGAGGTGCTACGACTTCTGTGATGTTGAGTACCTCTTTTCTCAGGCCTCAGTTTCCGAGTCAGTAAAGTGGGGATGATAACGTGAGCCACTTGTCAAACGTTAAGGGCTGGAGAAATGTGGGCAAAGGCGGACTGTCCTTGTTTCTCCCAGGCCCTCTCTGCACCCATTTCCCAGTTTCCGAGCGGAGCCCCCTCAGTCGCCCACGACGGGTGGGCGGGCCCCGTGTGCTCTCGGCCCAAACCCTAAGGGGCTGAGCGGCTGACCACGGGTCACACAGGACCCCGGAGCCAACATCAGTTTCAAATGGATGGAGGTGCCTGCAGAGGCGGCACGGAGACCCAGAGCCTTCAGCGCATGCGCGCACGGGCCTCCTTGCCCTAGGCCAGTGTTTGACCAAGAGCCACAAATCCCCGTAGGTGACTCCAGGTGCGCATGCTCTCTTTAGATCTTCAGTGGCAAGAAGAGGGCGGAGATTCCCTACGGTCCAGCCCCGCCCACTCTATTCGCAAAACGCACGTATCTTTTGGTCCAAGTGAGGGCAGAGAACAAATCTGGCGTGCACATGCGCACTACAAAAGGGGAGCCGGTCAGGCAGATGCGCATGCATCCTGGCTCCTACTGCCACAAATCCCAGCTGCCCCTGCGGTGACGGAGAAAGCGGCTAACATGGCGGGCAGTGAGTGCGGGTGTCAGCGGCCGGGAGGGGTTGGGGGCCCGCGCGGGGGCGAGGGTGGTCCGGGGCGGCGCGAACAGCCCCAGGGCAGGAGGTGATTCCCGCGGTCCGGACAGGCGTCAGAGGTCGCGCGCGGGGCGGGGGGATATGTGGCCGCCACTGTAAGGGTCAAGATCGCGGATGGCGGGGTCGGGGGTCATGGAGGGGTGACGTCTAGCCGGGGCGGAGTTCAGAGGTCAGCGGGGGCTTTCCCGTGTTCTCCCTGCCAGGACTGGGCCGGTTCCTGAAGGAGGCCTGGGCCAAGGAGCCGGTGCTGACCGTGTCCTTCGCCATCGGCACCTTGGGTGAGCCCCGCGCCCTGGGCTTGGGGAGGGCCAGGGTCATGGTCACAGTCGGGGTCGGGGGACGGTCATTGCCCTTGTGCACCTTGCTCCGCCCCGGGCCTGCAAAGCGTCCCCCCTCCCCCCATCCCGCATATCCTGGGATCGGACGCGGCTCTGGCCTCCCGGCGGGCGGACGGTAAGCCCCTTGAGGGCAGCGGCTGTTTCAGAGCAAGGACCCCAGGCCCTGATTCCGTCGTCTCCCTCACAGCTCTGCTCGTACCTCCTTTTAGCCCCTATACCAAGTACGCAGGCATGGTCAACCGAGCTACCCCTTACAACTACCCCGGTGAGTCCCCAGCCTCGGGAGAAGCAGGGATTGGGGGGTGGGGGGGAGAGGACCGGGCCAGTGAATCTCCTTTCTTCTTCCCACCCCTAGTTCCTGTTCGAGATGACGGCAACATGCCTGACATCCCCAGCCATCCTCAGGATCCCCAGGGTCCTTCCCTCCAGTGGCTGAAGAATCTGTGAATCCTCCATCTGCTCCCCCCAAATAAACGTCCTTGTCTTATCCGGACAGTCTCCAGCAGTGCCGCACGGGAGGCAGTAGAGGGGAGGCAGAGCTTTATTGGGGGGTAATGTCAAAGGGAGGGCTGGCCAAAGTGGGGTAGGAAAGCAGTCTGTCTGGACCTCGGGCCACCCATCCCGTGGTGAGGGCTTCATCCGCCTCAAAGCCAAAGGCATCCTCAACTTTGATCTGAAGGAAAAGAAAGAAGGGGAGGGTGAATTCCTTTGAAAACCCACTTTTGCCGCAATTCCCCTCATCTCTATGTGCTTACCTGGCCTGGGCCTAGCTCTGGGGTTAGCATCACCCCACCTCGGCGTCCATCCCGGGGGGCCCTCCGCCTCTTTCTTCCACTGGGGCCTTCCCCAGGTGGGGGACTGCTTGGCTCAGGGGGCCTCCGAGGGGGAGGTGACAGGCTTTCCTTTTCCGGCGGCTCATTCTCTGCATTTCCTGGGGTAGGGGCATCAGGGCCTTGGCTGCCCTCATCCTAGAGTGGGACCAAGGCAAGAACCGGGTGTTCACCCCTTCTAGGACCATGGCCTCTCCACCCGCTGTGGCCCAGGGTTCCGGCCCAAGGCCTCACCTCCAGGACAATAGTGAACTGGCTCTTCCGGTAGTCATCTCCATAGGAATCCAGTACTCGCATAAGAAACCTGGGGCCGGGACAGGAGAAGCCTCGTGAAATGAGAAGCTTGAGCAGCCAGGATTCAGAGTCCTGGTTTTCCCTCTGCTTTTTCAGGGGTCTCCAAACCAGCTCCTCTCACTGATCTCTCAGGGTCTCCCCACCCACATGCTGTATATGGCACATGTAGTTCACCCCCCAAGTTCCCTTCTACAACCTCAGTCTTGCTCTGGCTGTTCATGGACCAACTCTTCTGAGGATGGAAAACTTAGGGTCCTCTCTGTGGCCCCTACAGCCAGTCCCCTAGTCTCCAGTTCAGGGGTAGGGAGTCGGCAGCTCTAAGGCCACATGGGACCTGAAGGATTTGTTCAGTAAAATGTGAATTCAGTCAAAAGGCTGCACTTAAGGATTTAGAAGGTCACATGGGGCCTGAATGCTGCAAATTCCACACCCCGGCTTCAGTTAGTCCTAGAATACTAGTGCCCCCAGCTGCAATTCCCTCAGAGAAAGTTCCATCTACTCAGCATATAGCCTCTTCCATTCAAATGTGCCCTCCTTGAGAGTAATGACTTTTTGCCTTTAACCTCAGTGCTTGGCACACTGACCAGCACATAGTAGGGGCTTAATAAATGCTTGCTGACTGACATAAGTAAACACGAGGGAATGCTGAAACTGGAGGGAGGTGGGAAGTTAGAAGGGGCACCTAAGCTTTAGAAGGAAGATAAAGATTCTGAGACAGAAGGGAGAGTATTCCCAGAATGCACTGAAGCAGGGGGAAAAGGGAGAGGGACATGTGGGAACACAAGAGTGTTTACAGGGTAGTACCAGGAACTGACTGGAGAAGCAAGTGGGGGCCCACATATTTGGGGGTGGCTTTAAATACCAGGCTGAGGAGCCTGTGTTATATCCTGAAACCAATGGGAAGCTATGTAAGATCTGCCAGCAGGGAATTTATGTGGTCAGAACTGTTTGGGGAATATTAATTTACATTCCAAAGATCTACCTAGCTGCTGTCTCCACAGACAGCTCATGGTTTCATCTTTTTGGAAACTGAGGAGCAGACACAGGCTTAAAATCCCCCTTTACTCTGCCTCTACCCCAAAATTCCGGCAAGGGATACTTTCCAGCCCTAGGCTTTGTCCTTAGATCCCCCCACTGTTCCTGGTCCAATTTTCAACCTCACCTTCGCTCCTGCCTGAGCCTCCTTGTGATTCTCTGCACCTGGTGAAGTCTATTCAAGACCCGCTCATTCACCTGAGGGGGCCAGAAAAGATCAGATCAGGGAGGATCCTACCTACCCCCTCATTCCCTTGGTCTTTCCTCAGGTGCAAAAGAACATCCCACTACCATTTATAATAATGTTTTAGTCCCAGGACCTTTTCACAAAAGGGAAATGGATTGGAAGGAAGTAATTTAGTCACAGTAGTGAAGAGTCACTGATCTGACCATCTCCTGGTGTGGTGTAAGGCTTGGGGCGAGGGACCTGGGCAGTCACACAAGGAGGTTTAGCATCACCCTTGGTGACATGGGACCCAGGAGGCAGGCCAGGGGCTGCTAAATGTAAAGTCTTTCACGGATCAAGTACAGGAAGGGGGAGACGTGGTAGACCTCAGTTCATGCAGAGCTGTGAAGGGTCTGGACGCAACCATGAAGACTGCCATCATCTCCCAAGTGTTAGAAGGGCTGGTTAGAGAAGAGGTTTAGACTTCTAGGGGGATGGACCGGGACATGTCCTGGAAGTGCCTGGATCTAAATGGCCGGGATGGGGGTGGAGGAAAGCCCCCTCCCCCCAGGCGATGGAAGGGAAAGGGCCGGCCCAAGGTCTCTGAGCCGGGCCGGGGCGCACCTGCTCGATCTCCCGGCAGCGCCGGCCCAGCGCCTGGTACTTGCGGCGGCTCAGCTCTCGCTGGCGGCGCCGTCGGCCCCGGGCCGCCTCCTCTTCTTCCTCCCTCTCGCGGAGGCCCGGCCCACCCAGGGCTCCCCCGACGAACTCTACCTCCGTCTCCAGCTCGGACTCGAGGATGTGGCCGCCGAAGAGCGGAGGCAGCGCCAGCTCCGAGCCCGGCGGCGCCGAGAACTCCTCGAAGCCCACGCCAGCCATGGCGCTGCCGGGGAGCAAAGGGTTGGTTAGGGGCCCCGATTTCGGGGACCCCCAAACTCCCCGGGGCCTTCCGTCCCCCTCCTCCTGGGGCCCGGTGCTCCTTCTCCCAGCCTCCCCTTCCGGGATCTTGTGTCACCTCCTCTGGGGGCCCCGGCGCTCCCTCCCCCGATCTCCCCTCCTTTCCCTCTGGGGACCCCGGAGCAACCTCACGTCCCGCACCTACAGCCACCGTCTAGGCTGGAGCGGCCGCGGAGACCACAACTCCCAGCAGGCTCCGGGGCAGCTGGCCCTTGCCCAGCCCAGGCCTCTGCCCTGGCTTCTCCTGGGAGTTGCAGTTCTCCCCAAGGGCCGAGGCTCTGGGTCCCTGGCTTCTCTGTGGGGATCCAAAGAGCCAGGGGCCCGGGGGTCCAGGCCATCACCCCTCTCAGCGACTCCAATACCCAGGGCTTCCAACCTACCCGGCCTGCGGAGGGGCCGGAAGGCCCCGCGTCTGTCCCCGCTGCACTTGGTCCCCGCGTCTCGCTGGGCGCCGCCGCCGATTTTTACTGGTTCTTCCGGGGAGCCAATCAGCGCTTGCTGGTGTCGTCACAACCGCGCGCCCCTCTGAGGGCCTGGAGCATGCGCGAGGAGGAGCCGGGTGGGCGCAACGTCACTTTCCCGCGACGCTTTCTCCCGCGATCCCGCACCGGCTTGTGAGGAGGCGGTAAGTGAGCTGCAGTTGGGGGCTGGGGGCTGGGGGCTGGGGGCGGCGAGGCCAGGGCGGCCTAGGTCTCCACACCCCCGGGAGTCTGCACTCTAGGGGCTCGACGCGTTCTCGTTTAAATAAGTCGGAGATGATTCGCAGAGCGCGCGGAGCGCGGGGGCAAATCCGGGCTCGCTGCACGGAGGCGGCGACGGAGAAATGGGCCCTGTGCAAATGCGCGGAGGCGGGAGGTGGAGGGCCGAGGTGTGCGCCCAGAGCAGGCTGGAGAGGGCAACTTCCCTTGGACAGCCGAGGGCGGGGAGCATCGAGGCAGGAAGACCCCCCGCCCCCCCCAGCAGGCTGTGGCAGTGGTCCGGGCCGAGGGGCTGAGGGCCTGCACCGGGGAGATGCTGCAGAGGTAGAAACAAGAGGCCTTGGCCTTAGCTTGGGAAAGGGGCGAAGAGGAAACTGAGACAGGCTCCGACTTTGGTGACCGTGGGGGCAGTTTAGAGGAGGGGCCGGTTAGGAAGAAATGGGGGTGCAATGGTGGGTTTTACAGATGGGGAAACTGAGGCCCAGAGACAAGAAGTGCCTTGCTCAGGCAGCAGGTGGGGTAGCCAGGGTTCCAACCGAGGGCGTCTGACTCCAGACTTCCTGGGGGTGCTTTGAAGGAAGCAGGGGGTTTGTGAAGTGGAAGTGGGGAGCCTGGACAGGGACACAGAGATGGGGGACGGCATGTCGTGTTCGGGTTCAAGCAGAGACCCCAGGTGACTGGGGCGGTGGAGTGATGGAGGCCACCAGGCACTGTAGACAAATGGTGATCGTGGCTGACCTAGGACAGCCTCATCTCATTGGACCCTCGTGACACTTTGAGATAGGTGTTATCACGCCCATTTTGCAGGTGAGGCCACTGAGGCAGATTTGTGACTTGCTCAGGGCCACACAGCTTGGTGTGAGTCTGAAGCAGGATCTGAATGTAGGTTTTACTGGACTCCCAGGACGAGGGGGCTCTCCACTGTGCCACTCAGCAGTCTGGGAGTTTTGAACTGAAGCTTGGTAAAGGGGAATGTGAATCAGTTCTGTCTTGGATACGTTGAGCGGGCTCTTGGAGGCCCGCCCAGTTGGACATGCCCCGCAGGCAGATGGTGATTTGGGATCGTGTCTCGGGAGAGACTAGAAGGAGGCATCAGGATCCGGGATCATAGAGATGGGAGCTGAGGAGGTCGTGGAGAGAGATCCCGACAGAAGAGAGCCTGGGCACCGCTTGGGAGAGAGAAGCCTGGGGCAGAAGACTTGAGGGACAGCATGTTTGGAACAGCCGCTGCAGGGAATGCGATAGGGGCTCAGTCGGGGCAAAAAGATGGGCATTCAGCTGTGATGATCTGTCGAGGTTCAAGAAAACCAGTTTATGGCAAACCAGTGGGACTGGCGGCTGAGGTGTGGTGCAGCCGTAAAGCATGGGAGACGCAGGCAGGGGTGATGTCCTGGGGCAACAGGGAGAGGCAAGGGCCTTTTCTTCTCTAGGAGGCGGAGGAGGGAGGTGGAGGAGGAGCTCGAAGGAGCTGAGCTGTGGCCCTGGGGGAGAGAGCTCCAGAGTTCAGAATCAAGGAGATAAGGCCAGTGATGGCGGATGTGGGGATCTTGGCAGTCATTGGTGCCTGAGGTCAAGATGGGTTTCGGTTGATGTGAGAACCAAGAATGTTTGAGCACACACGAACGTGTGTAGTTCTCGGGTGTGAGGGCATGGGTTGGCATGGGAGCCAGGTACCGGAAGGCTTCGGAAAGGAGGACGAGTGACCTGGGGGCTGGGTAGATGAGTTTGGGAGAGGGGGATGGAGCCTGAGAGCCACCCTAAAGGGGTGGCAGCAGATGGGGGTGGGGGGGCGCTGCTGCAAGTGGATCCGTTTCACTCCTTCTGGCCCAGGGAGTCTGCGTGCAGCGGGCAAGAAGGGACGGGGACGGCGTAGCCAGCTTTTTTGGAAGAGTGTGGGAGGGGGCTGAGAGGGGAAGAGGGTTTGCCTGAGCAGACCGAGGCCCAGCCGTGAGGGGAGGAGGGGTAGCCAGCTTTTTTTGCCTGGAAGAGGAAGGCAGAGCGTGCTCCTTTGGTGCCTGTGTCCCTGGAGGTGCCCTGCCTGCCGCTCAGCCTCTCTGTGGCGCAGGGGCCTGGGAGGAGTCCAGCGAGGTGACTGGCCTGGAGTCCTGGCTCCGCCTCCGCCTCCGCCTCCGTGAGACCTTGGCCAAGTCTCTGCAGGCTCCTCCCAGCTCTGATTTCTACTTTCTCCATGTCTTCTCGAGCTCAGTGTCATCATCTGTACCTCTAGATCTCAGATTCCATCTGACTCCACCACTCCCCTCCTTCCCATCAACATACACACATTCACGCTGGCTTCTCCTGGCTCTTTGTTTTACTGTGGTGTCCTTCGACCCCAAGCTAGACACCCGCGTCCCACGGCCTGGCCCGCAGGCCCGGCCTCCTCCTTCCCCATGGGATATGAGCACGAGCGTAGGCTCTGATTAGCAGCCCAGCGGCTCGCTGCCCATGGGTCACGGGCGGGGGGGGTCGGGCAAGACGACCTCGGGGGCTCTGTCGTCCCTGACTCGATTCGACTCCTGGGGGTGGGAATGTCCTAGGCCCCAGAATGTCGCTAGCAGACGAGCTCCTGGCTGACTTGGAGGAGGCGGCCGAGGAGGAGGAGGGGGGGAGCTTTGGAGAGGGGGAGGAGGAGCCTCCCATCGAAGATGTCCAGGAGGAGACGCAGCTGGACCTCTCCGGGGACTCGGTGAAGAGCATCGCCAAGCTGTGGGACAGCAAGATGGTGAGCGGGGAGAGAAGGCGGGGGCCGAGCCGGCCTCCCCGGGCCTGCAGTGCTGACGCGAACCTTCACCTCTTCTAGTTTGCCGAGATCATGGTGAAGATCGAGGAGTACGTCAGCAAACAGGCCAAGGCTTCTGAAGGTACCCATCCCTCTCTCTGGGTCACGTGGCCCACAAGGCCGGGGGGCACGAGGCAAGAGGCGTGGGATTTGGGGTCCTACTCCCAGCATCTACTCCCTGGGTGACCTCGGACAAGCCATTTCTCCTTTTGGGCCTCTTTTGCTTCTCCTGTGGCATGAGGCTGTTCGGCTGTGATGGCACGTGGGGTCCCTCCCAGCTGTCATTCGAGGCTGTGCTGCAGCACCGTTTCGGGACCCCGGGGTCTGGCTCCCAAATTCCCTACCCACCAGGGACACAGAGCCCACATCCACAGCTGGAAGCATTTGGGCCAGGCTCTTCATCTCCCAGAAGAACCTGAGGACGGCCTTCTCCCATTTCTCTGCCTCCCTGGGGGGGAGCGGGGAGAAAAGAAAGCCCTCGGAACCGCTGTGTGGGTTGGTGCCGATCTAGCTCCCGCACGTGCTAGGTGCAGCCCCAGTCCATCCCCTCGGCCGAGGCGCGGGGGGCGGGGGAGGGGGGGCTGCGCATTCCAGTGACCAGAGACGGCGAGGCTTCCCAGGGTTGTGGTTACTGTCCTTCTTCTCCTGGTCCCCGTTCACCCTGCACCAGTCCCCTCAAGGCGGACGTTTCCTTTCCTGCGTGGGAGAGGCCCTGGCCTCATGACTTCCCCTCTGCCCTCACAGTGACGGGGCCGGTCGAGGCAGCCCCAGAGTACCGGGTCATCGTGGATGCCAACAACCTGACTGTGGAGATTGAGAATGAGCTGAGTGAGTAAGCAAGGGAGGGGGCAGCTGAGGGGTGGGCATGGGGGCTTCTGGAGGGAGCTGCCACCTGGCATCTCCTCTCTCTGAAGATATCATTCACAAGTTTATCCGGGACAAATACTCCAAGCGCTTCCCAGAACTGGAGTCTCTTGTTCCAAATGCCTTGGATTACATCCGGACGGTCAAGGTGAGTAGGCCGGGGCAGGGATGTGTGTGTGTGTGTGTGTGTGTGTGTGTGTGTGTCTGTGTGTCTGTGTCTGTGTCTGTGTCTGTCTCTGTGTCTGTCTCTGTGTGTTTGTGGAGGGAACACGGCCGTTGTCTGGGGGAAGAGGATGTGGGGAGGCACAGGCTTGTCCTGAGGGGTGCCCATTCTGGGGGAGGGGGAAGTGGGGAGGCACAGGCTTGTCCTGAGGGGTGCCCATTCTGGGGGAGGCAATGAGACTGGAGTAGTCTGTTTCCAAGACCTTTGTCGGAGAGGGCTTAAGGTGGGCTGGGCCAGGAGGATCGACTTGTCCTTAGACCCTTGAGGTCACCCTTTCTTTACCCCTCAGGAACTTGGAAACAGCCTGGACAAGTGTAAGAACAATGAGACCTTGCAGCAGATCCTGACCAACGCCACCATTATGGTGGTCAGCGTGACGGCCTCGACTACCCAGGGGTACATATGGGGCCAGTTGCCACCTCCTTACCCAGCCAAGTCTTCTCCCTCTCTTTGCCTCAGTTTCTTTAGATGGAAGTGGGGGCTGATGATTCTCTCATCTGCCTCCCTCCCACAATGAGCGATCTGTGTTTCAGATGGCCAGAGCCCGGGGGTGGCCTCGGGTCTCTCTGCAGGCCAAGAGGGGCCGAGGTGTCCCTGCCTGGCCTCTTATGCCCTAACCCCGGCATGGCCTCGTGCAGAGGAGGCTCAGGTCACCACCCGCCCCTCACCCCCTAGCTAACAAGCATCAGTCAGGGTCAGAGTTGGAAGGCAGGGCCTTCACCCCCCATGCCCGGGGTGAGGGCCCGACGCCCTGGCTCTCTAGGCAGCAGCTGTCAGAGGAGGAGCTGGAGCGCCTGGAAGAGGCCTGCGACATGGCGCTGGAGCTGAACGCTTCCAAGCATCGCATCTATGAGTACGTGGAGTCCCGCATGTCCTTCATCGCCCCCAACCTCTCCCTCATCATCGGTGCCTCGGCTGCCGCCAAGATCATGGGTGAGGCCTGGGTACCCTGGGGGAGAAGGTGCCCGGTCTGGGTGGGGGGTGGAGGAGGCTGGGAAGAGACCCCAGGGACAGGAGTGTCGCGAGGTGCCAGGGCAGGCCCTGCCTCCCCTGACAGCCTCGTTGGCCCGGCCTAGGCGTGGCTGGCGGCCTGACCAACCTCTCCAAGATGCCGGCCTGCAACATAATGCTGCTCGGGGCCCAGCGCAAGACGCTGTCGGGCTTCTCGTCCACCTCCGTGCTCCCACACACAGGCTACATCTACCACAGTGACATTGTGCAGTCTCTCCCCCCGGTGAGCCCTCCTTCTCTGTCCAGAGTGCAGAGGCTGTGTGTGCGTGTTCACGCTTACATACATGTGTGCTCCACACAGTAGGTGCCCCTGTGAGGCAGCAGTTTTTATAGATGAGGACACTGAGAGCCAGGGCATGAAGGGACACAGCCCCGGCCAGCCTGCTGCCTCTCCGTCCACGTGTCCTGGCCTGTTTTCACCACCTCCTATCTATACTCATACCTTTATACCCCCATGTACAGGCAGGCCTCAGTGCTCTTGGGCAAGCCCCTTCTCCTCTCCGGGCCTCAGTCTTGCTGTCTGTACAGTAGGGCAGGAGGTTAGTTAGACATCAGAATTAAATCCTCAAGATTCCAAAGGAAACCCATTAGTGTGAAATGCAGGGTCCAAGTGAAACGCCCAACAGACCACTTCCCAAACTAGGGTTTAGCGTGCCTGCTCTCGAAGTTCTGTCCTCTCTGGAAAGGACAGGCTGGGAGGGGAGGGGGTGGTGAGGGTCCCTGCACCCCATGATGGAGTGTGTCCTGCTCATCTCAGGATCTGCGGCGGAAGGCAGCTCGCCTGGTGGCCGCCAAATGCACCCTGGCCGCGAGAGTGGACAGTTTCCACGAGAGCCCTGAGGGGAAGGTATGAAGGCCGGGGAGGATCTGCCTGTGCTCCCCCTTTGCTGTGGGGCAGGCCTCATCCCCGGGTGACACCAGGAACCTTGGGATTTGGGGGCTTGGGAGGGGGGTGCCATCCTGCCTGTATCCCTCACCAGCTGGCTGAGGGCAGACACTGTCCCTTCTGCAGCAGTTCACAGTGAGATCCTGGAGGCTCAGGGTTTACTGATGACAAAATGGGAAATCGAGGCCCAGACCAAGGACAGGGCCCTCGTCTGCCCCCTTCTTCATGTGTGGCTGTGGGCCCTGGAGCTGCAGGGGCAGCTCCTCCTTCAGCCTCGTGCCCCTCCCCCCAGGTGGGCTATGACCTCAAGGACGAGATCGAGCGGAAATTTGACAAATGGCAGGAGCCCCCCCCTGTGAAGCAGGTGAAGCCGCTGCCCGCCCCCCTAGATGGGCAGAGGAAGAAGCGCGGTGGCCGCAGGTGAGGATGGGCCCTGCTCACTGCAGGGGTGCTTGCAGCTAGCTGCATCTCCCTGCCTGCATCCCTCCCCTCTCTGCCCTTTCCCAGGTACCGAAAGATGAAGGAGCGTCTGGGGCTGACTGAGATTCGCAAACAGGCCAATCGCATGAGCTTTGGGGAGGTGAGACCCTTCCCTGGCTGCCCCTCTGCCCCAGACTGGGTCCTCTTGGGGGGGGTGAGGCCTGCCCTGGCCCCTGCCCACCCCCTCTCTGGAGGGCTGGGCTCTCTCAACTCCTGTCCGTCTCCCTAGATTGAGGAGGATGCTTACCAAGAAGACCTGGGCTTCAGCCTGGGCCATCTCGGCAAGTCGGGCAGCGGGCGCGTGCGCCAGACCCAAGTCAATGAGGCTACCAAGGCCCGCATCTCCAAGACTCTGCAGGTACCTGGGGAGGTGGGGCTGTGGGGGCAGGGGGATGCCAACATGGTGGATGGGGGCCTGGGTTCCAGGCTGTTCTCTTGCACCCGTAGCGGACCCTGCAGAAGCAGAGCGTCGTCTATGGTGGCAAGTCTACCATTCGAGACAGGTCCTCGGGAACAGCATCCAGCGTGGCCTTCACACCCCTGCAGGTACTGCCTCAGGCCCCTGGTCTGGGGGAGGGGATTGGCTGCACCCCATCAGTGTGTGTGTGTGTGTATGGGGGAGGGGTGGCCCCGAAATGGCAGAAAGAGAGGTACTGCGTGTGGGGGTGGGGGGCTGCCCCCCAGCCACCTCAGCACCCCTCCTGCCCCCTCCACAGGGCCTGGAGATCGTCAACCCGCAGGCCGCCGAGAAGAAGGTGGCCGAGGCCAACCAGAAGTACTTCTCCAGCATGGCCGAGTTCCTCAAGGTCAAGGGGGAGAAGAGCGGGGTGCTGTCCACGTGATGGGGCTACCCAAGGCCAACTGCCCCCCCCCTTTAGTTTCCTCTTGTAATTTTTAAAGAAAAAGTTAAAAACCAAATAAAAACGTTTAATAAAGGTGCTGGGGTCTTGTGTGTAGGGAAAGTGATGGCATCCTAGCCTCTGGCCTCAGTTTCCCTCCTTGTAGCAGGAGGGTCCATTTTACAGAAAGAGAAGCTGAGGGGCAGGGCCCGCCCCGGCGCTTGGGCCAATCAGGTCTCCCTCCTGCCAGGCGTGCCCCCTTATTGGTGGCTCAAGGAGGAGTGGCGGCTGCAGCGGCCAGCGGCGCGCCGGCAGCTCGCGGCCCAGGGGCCCGCCCTCTGCCCGCTGTCCAATGGGCACTGAGCCCTGGCTCCTGCCTCGGGCGCTCCGAGCTGCGGGGGCCCAGGCCCCGAGGCGGGGCCTTCTCCACGGAGGAGAGAGGGAGGGAGGGTCGGGCCCCGAAGGAGCCCGGATAAAACCGCTCGCCCCGACCCCGCCTCTTGGTCTATAGCGGAGCGTTTGATGCCTACGGCCTCCAGTGAGCGCGGCGCTGCGGAGGTTCTGACGGCCGTCGCAAGCTTGGGAACGCCCCCAACCCCCTGGAGGCGGGGCGGGAGCCAAGGCTGGCCAATGGCGAGGCCGCTCCCGTCTGACGGACACGTCGATTCTCACACTGCCGTGTTGTTGTCCACGGGGGGCAGAGCTGGGACCAATGAAGCCCTGCCTAGGTTCCCTCCCTTGACCAATGGCAGGAGGCTAGAACGCTACCTAGAGCCCGTGAAACTTCGCCCAGGCTCTGACTGAGGCTGCAGGCTCCGGCTCCGCCCCCTCGACCAATGGGGCAAAGGTGGGGCGGGGAGGACCAACGTCAGCCTATGGCGCCGCGACGGCTGCCTGACTGACGCGTCTGCCCTCGCGCCGGCGTGTTGTGCCTGGAGGGGTGGGAGTCTGGAGGGAGGATGTGGGAGGCGGGCCGGGCTCCATGTTACCCAATCGGCAGCTGCTGCTCGCCGTGCGGCCAATGGAGTCCGGGCGCAGCGGCGCGGCGCGGCCAATGGGCGGGCGCGGCCCGGGCG